GTGGGGGTGGGGTGTGGGGGGTGGGGGAAGCCTTTTTCGTGGCCTCCAAGTTGATGGAGATTTGCCAGTTGTTTTTTTGCTGATTTTTTTTCTGTCAGGTGCTTTTGATGTACACGAAAGGAAAAGACAGAGGGACGGCTGGTTCCACTTTTTTTGTTGCTGTTAGTCGCTTGACGGGTCAAGCATACAACCCAACCCGTTTTCTTCAGGACAGAAAAGACAGACAGCTGTCACCTATTTATTGGTTGGAAAATTTGATTGAAATCCAATTACAAATTAGTCGATTGTAGAATAGACAGTCCCTATTATTATTTTTTTGCAGAAAATAGGGGATTTCATAACTCAAGGTGGCTTTTCAGCCATACACAAGTTTACAACTTCGTCTGTGCTCGTGCCAAACCAAATGGCAGTACGGGGTGTACTACGTCCGTAGGCTGCGAGGCTATGACTAACTTTATTTTGAGTGCGTCTCATATGCGTAGTCGAAATCTCCCGTGGGTCCTCTAACATCAGTGACTGGATGTCTCGCACAAGTGACATGTATCTCGAGCGGTCCCCATGACTCGCGTTTAACATCGAGACTGCCTGAGCACAGCCCAATTCAATGGCAATGGGTAAGACAGTGTGGTGAAGAGCAAGATCAAGGCCTTCCTTACACTCCATAAGCTCTGCCTCTAGTCCATCATCGCATGTGATGATTTGTCTGCATGCAGTAAAAATAATAGCGCGGGTATCATCTCAAAGCACCATTCCACCATCAGCCGCCCTTGTTTCCTTGATATAACTTCCATCAGTATTTAATTTCGTCCATCCATGGGCAGGCAGTGACCAGGGAATCTCCTCTTGCTGGTTTCCTGCATGTTGCATGTCGTAGCTTCTCTTGCTAGCTAGTACATGCACCACTATTTTGCCTTTCTCAATGTTCCCCGATGAATGTTGTTGAATGCACAGGAGAGAGTTTATATACCCTTGTAGGAAGCGTCGCGATGCTTCTGTTGGAGGGGCTAGCTTCCCATGCGTGAGTTTATTTCGAACGTACCACACGCGCCACATGGTCATCAGGACCACCACGCGAATATTTTCCGTGAGCGGCTCAAGCAGGGTAAAAAGCCACTCTGGTCCGGTGTTGCGAACAGCATCAATGTCCGGCAACGGCCAGTTTGAGGCCATTGTACGCCAGAGGTTCTTGGCAAGGGGGCACCTACACAATGCATGGAAACCGTCCTCCCGTTCCACACCACAAATGACTGCAGTGGTATTTGATAGCAGTGTCCTTTTGCATAAACCTGCTCACAACCTACGTGTTATCTTCTGAATAATAACAACACAAGGCTGATATTTCTCAAACCGGACCGGAGTACATCACCTCCAAGACACCCAAGACACACGGGCATTACGTATCTATATTATTGCACTGCACTACACAAAAGCTGCATGGCACATCTTTTCTAAGCACATGTTCAGATGAATTAGTCAACAACCGCTCCTAAATCTGAAACAGAGTTGATCGAATCCTCTATGAGATATGGCCATTAGAGCATCTACAACCAGACTTTGCAAACCCGGCCGTCTATACGTCTGCGGATGGCGCTGGACAACCTCTCATATGTCATGTCCGGCACCCACATACCCTAAATTCAAACCCTCAAATTCATGCATATCCATTATACATGGAACATGTGAATGTCCCACGCAAATAACATTTCTTCGTAGCTAAAAATACATAGTTCAAACATAAAATTTATTTTAAGTGCACAATTCAACAAGTACTCTTTGGTTTTCATTATGTGTCCACATATGCTCCACGAGATCACTAAGTAGCTTCGCGTGTACCTGATGATCCCAAAGATTCTGATGGATTTGCAAAAATTTCATAAGTCGGTCTGCATCTTACTGTTTGAGGATGTGGACTTGTTCTCCACACATGTCAAAATCACTACCCCATCATCCTCGCCCTCGACAATAATATTTGCCAAAATGACACAACATTTCATCACCTGCCACAAAGTCTTCATTCCCACATCATTATAACTCCATGAACAATTCCCAACGAGTTTGTAACACTTCAAATGCCCTCTTCACATCCTTCATAGCTGCCTCCACTCTCTTCACCACGCGCAAGAACAATTGTTTGCACATACGGAACCATCGACGATACCAAGGTCCATCAGGGAAAGTTAGGTCAGGAGCAAACTAGTCATTGTAGAGTAGCCATGCTCCAGAGATCCTATCTCGGTTAAGAACTCTTATCCCTTCGATCGAGCCCTTGAAGTTCAGAATGTGATTCCCCTCCCGGTTCATCTTCTATTGGATGCTCATGATCATCTCACCTTCTTCATCTGAATCTGATGAATCGAAGAACTCATATTGAATAATTCCATCTACCTATGTGGGTCGTGCTACAACAGGGTGGTCGCAGCAGCCATCAATGATGCAACCCGATTAAGAAGGTCGTAGAACGGCCAGGGCGACAAGCCATGCTGCGAAAGAGGCGATGTCGTGAGGGAGCGTAGGAGCTAATGCAACAGTGCTGCGAGGGGTGCAACGACGGTAGCCGGTGATGTGCTATAGGGATCGTGCCGGCGAGCACACACTCGCCGACAGCGATGCTAGTCTACGGCGAGAGTTGACATGAGAGGGGAGGGGTTGTGCTGCGAGGAAGAGGGCGACGGTATTTCCTGTTGCGTGCGTGAGAACGGCAACATGCTGGAGTTGAAAGAAGCTATTTAACAGTTAGCCGCGGGAAAATAAGATGGCTCAGGTGGCGGTTGTTCTTTCGGCTCGTACAACCGGATGGCAGTTCGAGGCCGCCTATATCTAATATAAGACGTTTTTTTGACATTGTCACAGACGCTCTGTCGCTTCACCACCGCTTCC